TCTGCCAGCCTATCTCAACATACAACCCCACCATGGGGATGGTGTTTAGAACGTGTTTGCCGTGTATTTGTACATATCTCTTGTAGTTCCCAGTGGGTGTTCATTACTGCAGGTTAAATTTTGCTGGTATCTCGGTCTGCCAGGCATTGTGTGAGGAAAACCATGCTCTGCCCTTTATTCCTGGTGAGAAGGCGACTGCTCCATGCACAAAGTGTGTAGTGTATAGTGACTAAAACAAACTGAAGTGTTAAATTCTCATTGGGTTAAAAGCTGGGAAATGAAACAACTGCAGGTAAAGTAGAGGCTCACTTAAGGCATCTTCTTAGAGCAGACAGGACCACCATCCTCTCTGAAAATACTCAATGTAAAATATTTTGCATTTTCAAGGTAGCCTGCAACGAGCACTCATGCCAGGCTGGGGACACCTACAGTAAATATTAAGCTTGCCTGAAAGCTAAGAAAACAAAAGCATAGAGTGCTTTTGGACAGGGCTGGGTTCTGTCCTGAGCTCCTCAGTGCTGCAATAATTCACATGAGCACATGAGTCAGCCTAGCATTGTGGGCAGGGGTGCCAGCCTGTCCCCAGGCAGACATGCCCAAGTTGCCATCCCTGGCTGTATTTAAAAGACTGGTAGATGAGATGCCTAGAGACATGGTTTAGTGGTGGACAGGTCATGGCTGGACTTGATAATCTGAAAGGTCTTTTCCAACCAAATGATTATACAATTCGATGCCACCCTGGCACCCCTCAGCCTGGCGTGGACACAGGAGCTGCTGAAGGCACATCCACACCCCTTGCAAAATAAATCCTCTGGCCCTCGCACCCCTTCTCCTAAGTCCCATCCCAATGAAGTTGGCCAAGAACAGGACATAAAACCAGACAAAGGTTATGGGCAGGTTGTAAAAGGTGTAGAAGACTGAAGGAAAGAGGAAGGTTAAATCCAGGATGCAAGGCAGTGAGATGTTCAGACCTCATCCCCCTCCCATATGCCACTTCTGGTATCTGCCAGCCTATCTCAACATACAACCCCACGATGGGGATGGTGTTTAGAACGCACCCCTTCATCTTTCAGTGCATGGACAATGCTTATATGGTCCTTCTCACACTAAGTTCTTCAGACTGAGGCGTCTCTTTCGGCTTTCCAGGCCAGAAGCGTTGTGTCTTTTGCCTTGATCACAATTCTGAAGTCCAAAGGCGTGAAAACATCTCATTTCCTCTGCAAAAAACCCATACTGGTATTCCCAACTAAAGGAAATCCCTAGTTGGTTCAGCGAGTGGTCGCTGTCTGCTGGGCTGATGCTGCCATCTCCTGACCACTTCGTGCTTTGCTACCAAAAACTTCCCCAGCCCTTGGCTCAGGGACCTGCCCATCTGCAAGCGAAAGGAGATGAGAAAAATGTAGGAATGCAAGAATTTAGGAAGGGCCTCATAGTCCCTCACTGGTCACTGTGGGTGAAGATCCAGGCGGGTTGTCCTCTTCAAAGCTTTGCATCGTGGTTGTGGATGCGAGCGAGAGGTGCTGTGCTCTGCCGGGTGGAGGAGAAGGCGTAGGCTGTGTGAAGAATCACATTAAGAGGATGAAGGGGGCAACTATGTGCTGTTAATGCAATTGATAAGTGGATTGTTATTAGACACAGCTTGAGCTGTTCATGGTTATTCCTCGAAATGCAGGAAAATCAAATGCTTAATTCAGAGGGAACAGCAGGGCTGCACAATTTCTCTCCTGACACCCATCCAATAAGGGTTTTTTGGCAGGGATACAGAGTAGTCAGCGTGACTGGCACTAAAGCTATGGCGGCAGAGTGGGTTGTTGATCAGAAGGATACAGAACATTTGTTTTCCAAACCTGCAAAAGGCTTTTCTCTTTATTCAGGGCTTTAGTTCTGCCAGAGCTGCTGCCTCACAACCCTTTGATTACTTTTTTCCCTTCCCCTGGCACCTCTGGCAGAGTGAGATGCTTGGGGAAAGTTTCTCCCAAACAGCAGGCTGTTAAAAGATGTAAAAACTGTTAAAACAAACCTTTTCACCTACCAGTCCCCTGCGATGCCTCGCCATGGTTTCAGTCTGGCAGAGCTTCTGACCCATCTCTCTTTGGGGTTGTGTGGCAGGTCTTTGTACACAGATGCTGTGGGAGATCCCTGAAGGTGTCATATGAGGACACGGTGGCATTACCGACCACCTACAGCACAACCTTGCTGGGTCTTGACCACGGGGCATGGCTTCAGCCAGGGTAAGTGGTGGCTGCAGCAGCAGCTCAGAGAGCAACACATGAAGCATAACTCCAAACCTGAGCATTCCAGCTGCCAGAAGTGTTGTGGCACCTTGTGTCTTCTGCACACATCTGTATAAGCTGGAGGAGACCATCTTAGGTTTGCACCTTGATTTTGCCTCCCTCTAAGAGTGGTGGAAATCTGCAGATCTCATGTAAGTGAGGATTGCAGAGCATCCAGGAGGGATGCAGCCAGCGAGAGATGTGGTCAGCAGCCCCAAGCTGTTGAATTTTGACAGTATTGAATTCCCAGGGCCTGCAGGAAAGGCAGCTCTTCTAGACTAAACCCACAAATACTGTGCAAGCTTTAAAACTGTTCCATGTGAAATTTCTACAAAGAATGTGATGTTCATGGTGAACCAGTTCAGCACTGGGAGGCTCTATAAACCACAGGCCATGTGCAGCGGTGAATTAATTCCCCATTCCTCTCACTGGGAAGTGTCCCCAGCAAGCAACATTGCATTGCTGCCTCACTGAAGATGAGCTTGATGTCCATGTGCATCTCTCCTGTTGGGGCTCTGGGGCAGCAGTTCTGGTTTGGAGGAGTAGGGTTGCTCTGCTTTGACTGGGGAGCTGGACTGGGGGATGTCTGTAACTCTGCCTTGGGTTCGGCTGAGCCTCAGAAGCAGACAGACTTCCTTCCCAGAGAGGTGCCCCTCAAATGGCTGTGGTACCAGCACATTGCTGATGGCAGGGGAAAATCTTGCTGCCTTGAAATGTATTGTTCCCCGAAGAAATCAATTACATGTTTCTGCTGTGCCATACACATATACATATTTTAAATATATATAGATTTGGGTCTCTGGCTCCAATTTCCTGTTTGCTATAAATAAAATAAGAAACATACCTCCAGCCTGAGATGCTCTGTGCTTCTGAGCAGAGCAGCTTTTGCACTGGGTGGTGGGTTTTCCTGTGGTCTCGGGTGATAGCAGCAGCTGGAATTGACTCCAAACGTGAGCTGGCTCTGAAGAGCAGCATGAGCCACAGCATGAACTACAGCCGGAGCAGGTAGAGTGGAAGTGAAGATGCTCAAAAGCAGCAGAGCAGTCAACGTGAGCATCAGTGGGGACATCTTCAAGGCAGCGCTGCGAAGTGGCACTGAAATAAAAGCCCTGCCTTGCTCTGCCTCACGACAAATGCATGCGAGCACAGGCGATGCTGCTGACCCGTTTAAAGGTTCCTCTGCCCTTTGGACAAAGGTCAGGTAAATGTGCTGGGCTCTGTTTGCAGAGATGCAGCCAAAGGAAGGCTACTTTAGAGTCCAGATACAGCTGACCACCTCCCAGGGACAATGTGCTTAAGCTCCCATGCATGCAGAGGGGATGTGGGTGGGACAGGGCTTTGGCTTCTTGCGTTTTGCTTATTTTTCCAAGGGTTTTAAGTATGTGCTCTGAAAACCAACACTGAAGTACTGCAGCTCAAACCAGAGCTTTTTATACGTGAAAGTTCAGCATCTGCAGCTCTTCAGACCTTCTCAGCATGCAAGTACTGCCTTGAGATGAGGTGCAAGACCTCTACCAGATTCGTCTTCTGTCCTCCCCGCCCCTTGCAGGCTGACATGGGAGGGCAGGGTTGTGGGCATGGGTTTTGCTGGAGGAAAATATCTTCATTCCCAGCAACCTGCTCCTTCTGCAGAACATGTTAAGGTTGCACATTAAGGTTGGAAAAAACCTTTAAGATTATCAAGTCCAACTGTCAACCCACCACCACCATGCCCACTAAACCATGTCCTGTGCCTGCCACAGGAGTGTATTGAGTTGGTACAGCGAGGAAGATCATTTCCCCAATATTTTTCTCTCTACTATCTCCTCCATTCCCCAGTATTGCCATGAGGGAAATATCCATCCACATCTTGGAACAATCTTCAAACTGAAAGAGCTAAGCACAGAACAGATTCCTCAGGATTATTTTAGCAAAGCTCTTTTTTGTAGATAGAAACAGTTTTTTTGTGTGCAGTTAGGCCCCTGGCACAGAAGCCTCCAGAGTCCTGCTTCTCTAAGAAACAAAAATATTAAATCAAGAAATCCCATTTTCCCGTCACCCTTTTTAATCTTCTTTCATTGGGTTTGAGCCAGGGAGTCATTAACTCCTGGTTTGGTACTGCAAGGCCAGAATCGTGATGTGCTCAATAGCAAAATTCCTGTAAAAAACCCCTCACTACCACACCAAAGAGCCCGTGGTCCTAAAGAAGAAGAAGATGCTGGAATAACATTTTAGAAGTGGATTAATGGATCCTGATGCACTTTCATTTGCATTCCCCCCCCGAACACCTCTGAAGGTGTTCAAAACACTTTTTTCTTCATTTAATAGTATTTTAATCCTTAAATAATGGCTCAGCTCCCTAGAAATATTTATGGAGCCACCATCTAGCACACTCAGGGAATGTAAGACAGAGGAATACCCAGGATCTGGTCTGATCCTGAGTTATTTCCATCCCAGGGATGGAAAGCCCAGACTCAGATGCAGACTTCTCCCATGCATCCTTGTTCTGCCCCTTCCTTCCCTGCAAAGCCCTGCCCTGATGGCCATCACTGTAGATACCTGGGGCTTTGTGTTTGCAGGTAAACAAAGCCTTCAGCCATGTCCTCCAACACAAGTCCCAGGAAAGGTCATCATCATCTCCATAAAGTAAATGAGCTGTTTCTGCAGGACTCTGCTCGAGGAGAAGACTCTCCAAGCTCCCACCCCAATGAGGGACAAGCCAAATCAGCCAGGCACACAACTGGCTATGGTGGCTTAAGAAGTTGCTGTGTGTCAGCTGTTGATGACTGCATGCTTGTAGCCGGTTTCCTTCCTTGGCTTAACCACCAGCTGGAAAGGCTCCTGCCCAGGCTCAGAGCTCTGCAGCCCAAGTCAGAGGAGGAGCCTTTGCAGCCACTGCTCAGTTGTCTGGCTGATGCTTTGCTTCACGTAGTCCAGGGGACCCTTAAGTACTGTCAGGGATGTGTTGCATGACCATACTTGTGTGTCTTGTGTGATAAGACAGAGGATCCCTCAGCATCAAGCTTACCTTGTGAGTGCCCTGTGTCGCCAGCACTGCAGAAGCAGTAGTTTTGACCAGGTTCCCTGGCCTCCCAAAACCTTGAATAAATTTACACAGCACAGAAGATCTGACTCAACAACATTTCTCAGTTGCAGAGAGTCACATATATAGTCCAGGTGTAAGCTGACTTCTTCCACACCTTGTCCAGCTGCATCAGTAAGCTATGTACCACTTTTCCCTCATTGACAACAACCTAATACCACGTGTTGGCAGTGGTTATCCATCATGGGAGGAGGAAGGTAGCTGACCTCTGGCATCACTTTACTACTTGAACTGCACAAAAAGCAACTGAGGCCAACCAGGGTGCCACTGATCCCCACCTGGGAGCCACTGCTGTAGGACAATGGCTCCACCAGGCATTCTGGTAGCAGCTTGACAGCAAGCCCTGATCTGAAATGAAGAACAAAATGAGAACACCATGGGTGGAGGGATAAAGGCTTACATTTTTTTTGATCAGGGAATGAAGTCACTGGCTCATCCTGCCTCCAGCAGTGACCAGTAGGGAAGGCAGGCTGCTCTCCTGCCCTCCCTCCACCTCACCCACTGCATTCCCAGACATTTCTGCCTGGCAAGAAGCGGTGTGCTCTTGACCTTGCATCAGTCCATGTTGGTCCTAGGGCGGGCGATTACAGCTACCATTACCTTCATAAGCATCACAGCAAACAAAAGGAAACCGAAACTCTGATAATAAGCTGGCTGTACTCTTTGAAGCTTAAGAAGGGATACTTGAACTACAACAGACTGCAGGGACACAAGAGTCAAGCCATTTCATCTGACAATACTTAAATTTGTCTGTGCTGTGCCCTGCTGTTCCAGCACTGCAGAGACTCTGACTCCACAGGCGCTTCAGTGCAGCCTCCAATTACAAAGTGCTCCCTCCGCTGCAATAACCCTCCTGGCTTTCCTAGCACACCTTTATTATTGCAGCAGCAGCTCCAGGCCTGCTTTGCAGTGCCTTAGACCCCAGAGGAAGTTATTTAACTCTCAGCCAGCCTTTAAAAGCTTTGCAAATTCATCATGTTATGCACAGCTTCTCATCGCAGAAGAAAAGAAGCAGTTTTTAGCTTATTTCACTGGTAATAGCAGAAAATGGCCTATTGCAGCAAAGAATTTGTCCAAATAAGCAGCGAGGCACAGCTGTCCTGCAGATAACATCCAGCTCATTTTAGCGTCCTGGAAACACTCTCCAAGTATCCACTATTGAAGCAGCATTGTACCTCAGGTAAATGTGCTGCTTAAAGATAGCAGTCAGCATGGACCACTGAACAATGGCTTCATTTTAATCTGCGCAAGCTGTCCCCTCAGTTATTACCACCACCTGAAGTGAGTAGTCTGGTGCTAGTAAAGCAGTCAGTGTGATGGAGGACCTTTACCCTGCTGCAGCCACTGAGCTTGCAACAGTATTTAAGGACTTTAATACACTACAGCTAGGCTGCTACATTTATTCGCCTTCAATCATCATCCTTCCATCAGTTTACTTTGTTGAAATAGGATCTTTGGTGCCTTCAGGTCGCACCACAGGAGGTTTCACATTTCATTTATGCACTGTGCATACAGTAAACCTAAACAAACTCATTCTAAGTCTACCTGACAACAATCGTTTTCTATGTTATCACAGCAGCAACCCCCCCAGCGCTGAGGGCTCCTTACCTCTGTCACTTCTTCTCTTGATCTTCCTTCACCCAAGTAGAAGAGTCTTTAGGGACCCCTGTACCTTACAGCCTTATCTCTTCAAGGACAGAGAAGCCTTTCAAAGACTTCTGCTCTTTTCCCACAGCTATTTATTTTAGATAAAATAATAAAGATCTTTATTATCTCATAGCTCTAGATAATTTTGGGGGTTTTAGCTTCTGCTTCTTGATCTGATACACGGCTCCAAGAACAATTTCACTTTTGTTCTTCCTTTTCTATCAGCCAGACCTACAACAGAAACCATCTCTTCCTGCTCAACCACCCCATCAAGCCCTTGCTGGGCCTCTGAGTGCCTTAAGAAGCTTTAGTGGCCATGAGTGGCCTTACCTGAGCATCCCCACCCATGGGGTTGTGGCTCCACATAAGCTCAGCCTCAGCTTTTTTCCTGAGTTGTGTTGTACAGATGTTAATTTCTAGCTCAGTACAACTACCCTGGGCACTTTCTCTGGCCCGGAGTCTGACCTGTGGGTTGACTTCTTATGTGGACTTTGGACCCACTTTATCCCCATAGAGGTACCACGTGTCTGGATCTGGGGGTTTTCAACATTTTTTGCTTTAGGTTTTCCAGCTTCTAGAGGAGGTAAAACCTCCTTTGTGACTTGTTTTTACATCCTACTTGTAGCAGTTGATGGTTCTTGCTGAACATCTTCACCATCTAAGTGGCTCCTGTGTAGCATCGTTCCTGGAGCAGCACTGTTTGATTGTCCCAGTGTCTTCCATTTCAGGCAGGAGCTGTGACAGTGCTGGGTTTTCCTTTACAATAGCTTTATGGGGCATGCTGCCACTCTGCACCCCAATCTGGGGGGTAGGAGGCACCCTTAGGACTTGTTTCCCATCAGACCCCCTGCGGCCTTGTCCTGGCACCCTACGCTGAAGCTCCTGGGTACTGTGAGAAGGTTGTGTATCCCACCCAGACTTCATTTCTGGGAGGAGTGGCTGACACGCCAGAGGGC